CTTTGTGACCAAATGAAGCAAGGCTTTTCTGCCCAAAACCAGTTCCACAGAGTCTTCTATCCTGGAGATAATTGGGAAGTAATCCAATTATCTCCAAAGACAGAGGCAAAACTCCATTAGCCACATGGTAGTAAAATACAATAAAATACATAAAAATATATAACTGTGCAGCTATTGCATAAAACAGGTACATTCAACATATCCCCAGATAGCTTAGATCTGAGCGCACATTATTACTGAATGGTGCTCAGATCACATGCATACAGTTCAATTGCCATGGAGCCAAAGTCTTTCACATAGTCTTTCATTATACGAATGGGCTCCATGACATAGCTATCTGGGGTAACACTGCTCACATAGGGAAACTACCGAATGACCCGGCTTTCGGGTCTTTGCAGGGGAAAATCAAGCATTTAAACATGGGGCCATAGTCACAGGGCAGGAGGCTGGCAATCAGTCTTCTCCAATGCCCAGTGGCGAGGCTGGTTCTGCCACAATTCGTGACTAGCGGCCCACGTACCGGCCTCATTACACTCCTCTATATACAACTAAGCACACCATCAGATGCTACCCAAACCCCTACATATGTCACACAATGGGAGACAGACTTACAACAAATTAAAGAGTGGAGAATGGCAAGACATATGGGAGGCAGCAGCAAAAGCATCCATCTGCGTGCTACACCAAGAGCAATGTTATAAAACACTCATGGGGTGGTACACCTCCCCAGTCAAACTGTACTGAATGGGCAAAACATCCACAGACTGGAGGGGCTGTGGAGAGAAAGGTACATATGTTCACATGTGGTGGACCTGCGCAAAAGCATTGCACTTCTGGGAGGACATAAACTACTGACAGCATTTATTGTGTAGACTGATAAGGCCAGACCCCTGGGCATTCTTAATAGCTAGATCTGTAGACAATCTAACCAACAAAGAACAAAAACTACTCAACAAAATAAACCTGGCCGCTAGGAGAGCTATGGCACAAACCTGGCTACACAGTGACATGCCACAAATGGAAAGTGTAATTTGCAATATCAAAGAGGTGCATCTCATGGATAAACTAACAGCACAAATAAGAGACACCTACCCATTATTCCTCAAAACATGGGAACCATGGGAGACTATACTAACCGCTGACGGACAGGCTGACCCAGTGTCGAACCCTACCCAGCAATGGCTGGAGAAGACCTTAAGTGTCGTCCGCCCCACGCCTGAGGAATTCACATTTTTTCCTGACCCTTCCCTCAACTCCTCCTCCCTCTCTATCTTCACCTCTTCATCTTTCCATCTCGACCTTCCTACCGGTCAAATCCTTAAAAATGTTCATGACTATACAGGGTATATGTACACAACCCGAAGGTACATGTGTACAAATAAGTAGACATCACGGACACTTGTACTCCAAGAGACACAATGATCTAAGCGCTCAATAAACTCTGAAACAGTCACAATTCTGAGCCCAAAGGAAGTGTAACCCACAGACCAATTGGACCAACCTACATACCCACAATGTAATATATGTTGGAAACTCAGAATTGTTAGCACTTACTATTGCAGTGTAAAGTTGTACGATGACACCAGCCATGTATGTATACCTTACAATGAGTACTTGTACAATTGAATACGCATATACCTTGACTGTTGCTGTAAATATTTGATATGCATGACTCGATAAATAAAGAATTAAAAAATAATAATAATAATAATTTTAGGAAACTAAGTAAGTCTTTCCCATTTATGTACAGTGCACTTTGGCTAAAAAGATCAATTCACTTGTACAGCGAAAACTTTTTTTCAGGTTCTGGTGTTCAGTATCTGATACAGAATTTCTCACATGGGAATTTCAGTAACTGTGTACAATATAAATTGTACTGCAATTGTAATAACCTTGAGAAACCTTTTTCCAGCAGCATAAATGTGAGAATAAATGGTCTCTATCATCGAGGACACATTTTACCGTTACAAGTGACATTTAAAGTATACAGTAACACATTATATTGATATTGTTGCTTGTTATATTAGTTCTCATAGAAATAAAACAAATAAACATCACTATGTTTTTGTCATAAATGCTTAGGTATATGGTTCACATAATATTAAAAATACCTAGAGCTCCGAGTGACCATTTTTATTTTATTTATTTTTAACCTGATTTAATATTTTGATCATTTAAAATATATTTGAAATAATTAAAAATCAAATTAATTTAATATTGGGATTTTTTAGGATCCTAGTCTGTTCAAGAGATATTACAAAAGCTAGAATACCCTTTTCAGCATACATTTAAGGCTTAAACGAAAACAAATAAAACATTTAGACTGATTATTCTACCTTAAAAATCACCTGTTTACTATGCGATGTATAATTCAGTAATTCAGTAATTTAAAAAAATACCTAAATGTTAAATTATGCTATCCCAGACACCTGTCACAAGATGCTTGTATAGAAGTCATGTAAATTTGTTTTGGTGGAAAAAACTTTATAGTAAAGTGGGTAATAAAGTATGAGACCCAGAATAGAGAAATGTAGTTCTCCTTATTATAAAAAGACAATTTACATCCTCCATTTGGTTTTTAAAGCTGCAGGCTATTTAAACACTTAAAGCTAATCTTCTGCTCCCATGATCCAAGTAATGCAAATCAGAAGTATAAAAATTAAGTTGTACAATACATATCTATGCCTATTTATAAATATACACATTTTGAACTGGCATGGAGAGGAGTCATCTCAATCCAGTGACATCTGTAGATCTAGCATCCCTGTTATACACATCTGTATAGTGATCTCCCTCAATGTCCAAGCACAAATCACAAAAATGGACTGGAAATCTGCAGCAATCCTGGCGAAACGCATGGTGTGCAAGATGTTGGATGAAGATTTACCACAGGCCACATCGCCCCTCTCCATCTGGACCTCTGAGTCTGATTATCCAACTCACCTTTTAGACAGTTCTCCTCTTACAGAGTTTAAACTTCACGGTATGCTTCAATCCCTATGAGCGACATTGCAAATTTGATTCATAACTGGCTCTGCTTCTTCTCCCCAACTCCTCTCTGTTGGTGTCCCCCAAGGTTCAGTCATTGGTCCCCTACTGTTCTCCATCTATACTGCCTCCCTTGGTAAACTCATTAGCTCTTTTGGCTTCCAATATCATTTCTATGCAGATGACACACAAATCTACCTGTCCTCTCCTGATCTTTCCCCGTCCCTCTTGAGTAGTGTCTCTGACTGCCTCTCTGCTGTTTCTAACTGGATGGCTGCCCACTTCCTTAAACTAAACTTGACCAAAACTGATATTCTGGTCTTTCCTCCCTCAAGTGTTGTTACTCCTGTGTCTGTCTCCTTCCAAGTCAACGGTGCTACCATCAGCTCCACAACGCAGGCTCGCTGCCTAGGTGTTATCTTTGACTCCGACCTCTCCTTCAAGCCTCATGTTCAATCTATCGCCAAATCCTGTCATTTCAATCTCAAAAACATTGCGCACATCCGCCCCTACTTAACGTCAGATGCGACTACGGTGTTGGTCCATTCCACTGTCCTTATCAGCTGCCAAGAGGTGAGGCTTATTAGACATCACAAAATGCCTTCAACAGCATTACATTTCTAACCGCTGGGGCTATGTGTCAAAAATTTTATTCTGGAGAAATGGGACACTGCACAACATACTAGTGCCGGCAGATGGCCAAAGGATTCTCCATTCATGGAGGCTTTGCAACTATCACCATTATTCATCATAGTCCCTAACACGTAAGGTGTCCCAGGTATGGTCACTGACATTCTCAGCTTCTAAGAAAAGGCATAAACCCAGGAATTATGTGCTTCACTCGGTTGACCAACGAGCTAAGAGTTGAGCCATTGATAGCCTATGCATCGGAATATGAGAATCTGCACCTGCTGTAGATCACCTTTAGTCCATTTAATAGTCCTCTTTGCAATGGAAGAAGAATTCATGAAAGCTATTCATAAATTACCCAAATATAAAGCCCAGGTCCCAGTTGTCTTCACACACTTCAACTACCAGAGAGAGACACCAGCCCATCGGTTAACTAATATTTTTACTTATATCAAAGACACAGAATTGATTCCTTTTAGAGCTTTTGGAAGCCAACAATATACCTTTTCCTAAGCATGGCAAACCCCCATGCCTCTTAAGTGCAGATCTCAGGAAGTATTACTTTACTGAGAGGGTAGTGGATGCATGGAATAGCCTTCCAGCTGAAGTGGTAGAGGTTAACACAGTAAAGGAGTTTAAGCATGCATGGGATAGGCATAAGGCTATCCCAACTATAAGATAAGGCTAGGGACTAATGAAAGTTTTTAGAAAATTGGGCAGACTAGATGGGCCGAATGGTTCTTATCTGCCGTCACATTCTATGTTTCTATGTTTCTATGTTTCTATCTAAAGCTAACAGCGTGAACCCTATGATGTCTGCAATTAGAACTTCCAGAAAAAGCAAAATTCATTCTGGGAAGGCAATCTTATGATAACACCAGATCTAAATTTATATGGAAGGGTAAAAGGGAAGCAGCGCCTTAAGTGTATCCTCAAAATCCAAATCAGGAAAAGTCAATATGTAAAAAAAAGATAAAGTGCAATATATGGTGTAGTATTTTGGAGTAATTGGTGGAATATATAAAAGTAAATGCAATTACTCTTTTTAGGAGCTGATGTTTAGCTCCAAATATATGCATTCAGGTGGTATAATCCCCACATGTAGATATTGTTAAATATCTTGTTCTTGCGTGGGTGCTCCAGAGGAAATGAAAACAGAAACCGAAAAAACTGCAATATTGTGTATTATATCTATCATACCAGATGGGAGTGACTTCAAATATTTGGATAAGCACTCACAATCTTAGCTTTTTAATAACTTTTTTTTATAGATTTTAATAACTAGTATAGTAGGAGCTCTTTTGCTCAAGGTATTCAGAGTTTTTACTTATCAGTGCACGGGAATATAGCAGTGGAGTATCACCACCATGTGTTTGTGTGCCTGCTAGTGAGTGAGCCTGTGTGTGTGTGTGTGTGTCGCAGTTAGTGAGGGAGCTTGTATGTGTGTGGCTGCTAGTGAGTGAGTTTGTGTGTGTGTGTGTGCCTGCTACTGAGTAAGCTTGTGTGTGCGTGGCTGCTCCTGATTGAGCTTGTGTGTGTGTGTGTGCCTGAATTTCTAAGTTCACTGCTTAGAATAGGTTCCATTTGTCACATTCATATTCTTACAAGTTGAATCTTGTATTCCAGGATATCAAAAAGAATGTAAACACTTTATTATTTCTTACATTAAAACAACGGCACCAATTAATGTTCTTGTGTAAACAAGAGCAAATAATTGGTTAGAATAAGCACTGGTCAATGCAGGTACATCTTTTATACTGGACAGTTTGCTGGATGAGGCTGAAGTGAAAGACAGTTAAGCTTCATTGGCAACAACTATTATGTGTTCAGCAGTTTATTACAATTGCACTGTTTGTTTTTAAACAATGTAGTTTATACAGTATCCATTGCAATTGGCCAGGTCCAACAAATGGGTTTGCTTATACATTATTCAACTGTAAATGGTTTGGCACTGTTCTCAAACATACAATACATGAATATTCAGTTGCTTTTATTTTTGCAGCTGTAAAAATAATAATTTATATGTTATACCAGGAAACACTGAGATCCCCCTCTGCTTTAATCAATGTCCTAGGGTATGGATATTATTACCACTAGCCTCAATGGTGCTTGTCTTATTAAAGTTTAAAAGATGAAGTGATACTGATAGCTAGTGAACTGCGCTATCTTGTTATTCGCTGTTATCTATAAAAACACACAATGTTTTCATAAAACTCTTAAGGTTAATAAGAAAAGAGGTCATGATGACTAATGAACTTGACTGCTTTTATGTAAGTATGGCATGCTCTTTTTAAGGTTTATGTAAAGCTATAGATAAATGAAAGCATGTCATATTTTTTATTGACTCTTGAAAAATATTTACCGTACATAAAGAAATTAAGCCACCACTCTGTGGAACATCTATATTTTTTTCAAAATAAAATATATTTTCCTCTCATACAAGAGTAATAGTGCTGTCAATGCACTAATGAAGTCTTATACTGTATACTTTTTAAATTTTTTGCTTTTCCCACCCTTTCATCGAAATGTAAGTAGAATTAGCAATTAAAAATATATATAGCTAGACATCCAGGTAGGTAATAACAAAAGTGGGCATCTTTAGGGCTCATTTTATCTAGCACATCTATTTATTAAAGGGGTGTGTTTGCTTTTTTTCTTGGAGTATTTTCAAGAAATTTCTATTCTCTAAGTAACCCCAATTCATCTCAGAAAAAAAAAAATGAATACATATAATTACTAATCAGTCCCAAGTGTGGTTATATACAAGCCTGATTACATATATACTTATAGGCATGCACAGGTAGAAACACACACATGAAGATACACATTTATGTAAAGACAGATTCATAGAAACACTTATGAACAGAGATGGACTCATAGTTGGAGAAAAACATAACTATGCATGTATGGTTACCTAAACATATAGACTCACTTTTGTACAGAGAAACAAACAAACACAGACACATCTTATGTAATGATACAGACAATCACACTCAGGTCAGTTATTCACTAAAGTGAGTATTCAAAGTGAATTCAAAGTGAATGTCAAATTGAAGGTCAAAATAGACAAGTTGGAAAAATCCAGCTATGTTTTGAATTCAGCCACTCTGGCCTTGAACTTACATAAACATAATGTAACTTCTATATGATACAGGTGATACTCGAAAAATCTGAATATCGTGCAAAAGTTCATTTATTTCAGTAACGCAATGTAAAAGGGGAAACTAATATATGAGATAGACGCATTACATGCAAAGCAAGATAGTTCAAACTGTGATTTGTCATGAGTGCGATGATTATGGCTTACAGCTCATGAAAACCCCAAATCCACAATCTCAGTAAATTAGAATATTGTGAAAAGGTGCAGTATTCTAGGCTCACAGTGTCCCACTCTAATCAGCTAAGTAAGCCATAACACCTGCAAAGGGTTTCTGAGCCTTTAAATGGTCTCTCAGTCTGGTTCAGTAGTAATCACAATCATGGGGAAGACTGCTGACCTGACAGTTGTGCAGAAAACCATCACTTACACCCTTCATAAGGAGGGAAAGCCTCAAAAGGTAATTGCGAAGGAAGTTGGATGTTACCAAAGTGCTGTAGCAAAGCACATTAATAGAAAGTTATGTGGAAGGGAAAAGTGTGGAAGAAAAAGGTGTACAATCAGCAGGGATGACGGCAGCCTGGCGAGGATTGTCAGGTAAAGGCTATTCAAAAGTTTTGGGGACTTTCACAAGGAGTGGACTGAGGCTGGAGTCAGTGCATCAAGAGCCACCACATACAGACGGATCCTGGACATGGGCTTCAGATGGCGTATTCCTCTTGTCAAGCCGCTCCTGAACAACAAACAACGTCAGAAGCATCTTACTTGGGTTAAAGAAAAACAGACCTGGTCTGTTGTTCAGTGTTCCAAAGTCCTAATTTCTGATGAGAGCAACTTTTGCATCTCATTTGGAAACCAAGGACCCAGGGTTTGGAGGAAGAATGGAGAGGCACACACTGCAAGATGCTTGAAGTCCAGTGTGAAGCTTCCACAGTCTGTGTTGATTTGGGGAGCCATGTCATCTGCTGGTGTTGGTCCACTGTACTTCATTAAGTCCAGGCTCAACGCAGCCGTCAACATGGATGCTGTCCAGGAAGTAGGAGGGTCTGGGAGGAGGGTCTGCCGGAGATTGGCAGGGATGTGTCAGCTGACCGGAGTTCGCCGCGAACGGTTCGTGGCGAACCGCGGAGAACCGTTCGCGGCAAGTTCACGAACGGTTTGCGACATCACTACCAGGAGATTTTGGATCACTTCATGCTTCCTTCCGCAGATGAGCCTTATGGGGATGCTGAATTCATTTTTCAGCAGGAAAACACTGCCAAAAGCAC